AGATTCCTCGATTATCACTCAGCTCATCCACTCACGGTAAAAAGAGGATTAATACAAGGTCTTGCAGATAGAATACGTAGACTCACAACAACGCAAGAGGACCAGTGTAAAGAAATAAACGTCCTATTCAAGATGCTACTCGAAAACAACTACCCAAAACAATTTATAAAAGATAATATAAAAAAGAAAAAAAAGAGGGTAAAACCGGAGAATAACAAGATGGAAGAATGCAAAAAAACAGTCACAATACCATATAAAAATGGTACATCAGAGGCAATTCAAAGAAACCTCAAAAGTATCGGCATTCATACAGCTTTTAAACCGACAAATCTAATCAAAAATAAAATAAATCAACTGAAAGATCCCATAAAAAGGATGGATAAAAACAACTTGATTTATAAAATATCGTGTGCTGACTGTCCGACTAAATATGTGGGGCAAACGTCCAGATCACTCAAAATAAGAGTGAATGAACATAAACGCCTAACCAAAGGTCAACCAACAGGAACACAAGCCTACAAAAACCTTGAAAAAAATTCATCCATAGCTGCACATGCATGGGACAAAAACCACAATATCGATTGGGACAATGTGTGTATTCTAAAAACTAACATGAACAAGTGGAAAGAAAGACTTATAACAGAATCGATATTCATTAAAGTCACACCGGATACATGTAACAAGGGTGACTCAGTACAACTATCAACAACTTGGAATATAATTCTGGATACAAAAACATGAATGAACTTGGAATACAACTCAAATACAAAAAAAAAAAAATATATGAATGAGCAAAAATAATGAACTATATATACGAGTACAAATCATAAATGTGTGAATCAAACAATTCCAACACTGGTGTGAACACGGGCAGTAATTTTGCTCGAAATATTACCAATAACAAAACTTATCATTGTGTGTAAACTATTAAAATATAATTATACTTTATTTGATCTAATCCACAATGCTCAAACTTTTTACTGATATTAACACAATATAGTTTCATTGGAAATCATAAGTCACAAGGAGTGGATGCATCTGCGCTAGCCAGCCATTGAGAACGATGAGTTTGAGCCGGACATATCACCAATTGTTTCCAGCTTTCATTGGTTTTTACCGTCTTCCCGAGGACTCTAACCAGTCAGGAAGCCAGTCTACACCTTCCTACGTGGCTGTCTGGCTGGCTTAAACTAACTCTTGTGTATTTCACTGACTGACCGCCGCTAGCTCTTTTCCAGCCTGACCCTATGTCAGCTAATATTGCCCGTCGAGGAAGTACACTTCCCAAAGCACTTCCGGGTTGACCCTGAGCAAAGCATCCAGGCGATATAGGGACACCTATGTTTAGTCTATCGACTGGTTTTATCTTGGTCCACAATCACTGAGGCCTTGCCTTAGAAGTCGTGCAATGCACAACAAGCAAATGATTTAAGGAAAATGCAAAAACTTATGAATGAAAGATTGTTCGCCAAAAATACATCATCAACCAGAAAAAAAGTCACTTTAAGTCAACTGAGTGAGTCTCAACATAACACTGAGCATCGAAGTTCAGCGGACCAAGTTGACACACACACACACACAAAGATAGAGCAACAGAGGAAAAACAAACAAAGAAATCTACAAAAGAGAGAAATATTACCCGCGGGGAAAATGAGTGTAACGACAGAAGGCAAGAGTCAGGCAACAGATCATTTATTAAGGAAATCAACGCATATTTATATATTTTCATGTACATTACTATGGATATTTAAGCAAACAAACACAGTCTTCCGATTGGTTGTCTCTCACGTAAAGTTTATCTTTCATCTATTTGTGACTGTTTCTTAAATGTCAAATCCTCTATATGTTAACTGCATCCGCCTACGTAAAGTCTGCTGTGGTCGGTTTTGAATCAATCTTTGTTCACATTTTCTCACGATAAATCTTGGGAACGTAAATATTGACGTAAATTACTGTCTACCAATTTGGCTAGTAGACAGCTCTCACCACAGAGGACCTAATGGATCCGAAGGTTAAAAAGGGTGGGTGCATCTAGGCCACTGAGAACAATTTTAATCTATATCACCAAGTCCATTATAATAAAGGTTGTTTTCTTGTATTTCCCAATGAATGAATGAAAAAGAGCGAAACGATATTATCGTTGCTCTTACTGCTAATAGCTTTATCAAAGCAGTGTTATTATTAAACCAGAAGAATTTACAAAATCCACTCAGCATATATATCTATAACAAAGAATTAAGTGGTGGGTGAGAAAATAGACTTGACTTGACTTAGGTCAAATTAAAAGGAGTTCGGATCATCACACCCCACCAACGCAAAGCGATCAGTTGTTTCAAGTCTTCTTAGACACGAGCACATTCTCTGATGTTAACGGATGAGAAAGAAAAAGCGGTAGAAGAAGAAATATCAAACATTACTGAAACTCTCCTCAAGCAAAACAACTATCCAGCGAACTTCATCAACAAAATCAACACTGACATTAAGTATGGTCGAAAACGCTTTACGAAAACATGAATGGACCTCAACAGTTGTCATTCCATGTAGAGCAGAGACGTCTCGTCAGACGATATCATCATAAGAGTATTCAATCAGCTCGACATTGGAGTTTCCTTCAAAACATCAGACACGCCCACTGCGAAACAACCTTGTCCATATAAAAGACCAAATCCCCGAAGATTCTCTAATTGTGTCTATAAAATGAAATGCTTGCTTGGAATCTGATGCGATATACATCGGACAAATATCACCAGAGAGAAATCAAAATCAGAAGAAATGAACACCGTAGAGCATCTCTTCGACCACCGAGAAATCCTGTTGAACTACAAAGACTTGAAAAATCATCAGCCACAGCTTGTCTACATGCTATAGAATCAGGCCACAAAATTGATTTTGACAATATTGAAATCGTCATCCAGAAAAAGCATTTCAGAAATCACAAAGAACGTCTAATATCATCAGAAGCACTTCATATCATCTAGTGGAATCCAAATTGTATGAACTGAATAGGAATGATGAACTAAAACAGAATTTGATCTCGTTACAACGTCTCCCTCCCCCATGAGGTGACAAAATCAACACGAATGTGATAAGCAATACCATTACATATAAACACACGCTGTTCTATAATTTTACACACTTATCAAATCCAACAATCTACATTGGTTTTGTTATCTTTACCAATTGACCAACTTGACAACGACAAATGACCCCAGACTGACGAACGATGATCAAGTTAGTAAATTTTGTTTTGATACCAGCCAGGGCAGATGTGCTATTACCTTAGTTATTTGGTTTAGTCATTCATCTTCATTGTTATTTTCACCTTCAATATGTCCTCCTTTTAAATTTACCTAGGTAGTTTATTTTCTCACCCACCTCTTAACTCTTTGTTATAGATATGTTCTGACCAAATTGCAACTCTACGCATAATCATCATCGAACAAAGCATGGAATGGCAATCAAACCTCCACATCAACTTTATAGACTTTGAGAAGGCCTTCGACAGCGTTGACCGCGAAGTAATTTGGAAACTACTCAAGTACTACGGTGTACCCCAAATATCAATCAACCTTATTCAACAGCTGTACGACAACGGCACATGTCAAGTGATCCACAACGAAAAACTCAGCAAGGCGTTCGGAGTAAACAAAGGAGTCAGACAAGGGTGCTTATTGCCACCAACGATATTCCTAATTGTGGTGGACTGGATTATGCGTCATACAGTAGGAAACGAGAAGACAGGGATATCCTGGACAGACGTGAAGAACCTATTCCCATATGGAATGATACAAATTTCATTGAAAGTTTCTAGAGTCGCCTAAAAAAGTAGTAGGACCAGAGCGGTGAATGAGTCAAGAAACGCGATGATGCTCAGCTATCTAGATGAACTTATGTACAGAAAATGGTTTAATTTGACTATGAGGACTACTATGAGATCCCAAGCTCACCATAATGCTGAATTAAATCTCACTAATTCTGAAATATATCTAACGTCCTATAATGAGTAATTTCTGAAATGGATTCTTTAATGGCACAGACTAGAACTCAATGCTGGTTTTCAGCATGACTGGCACTAATTCAGCACCGTGTTATTTTTCTAGGCATTTTCAGGAGTAGATCAGAACCTAATGGGTTTGCTTATCAGCGTTGTTTCAGTCCTCACAGGATATATTAAGCGCGGACTGGCGTTACTTCAGAACGACAAGACTTAATTCAGCATCCAGCTCTCTTTTTAAGCACGAACAGCGTTATTTCAGAACATAGTGGGTAGATAAAATATTCATTTACCATAAAAAGGCATTATCGACGCATAGGTTAGAATAAGTTTAGAATTGTTGTAAGCTTGGGATGTTTCAACATAGCATTACTTTTATGTAGACGCCTTTTTTAAATTACACACTTCTGCTTCGGGAGAATCTAAAGGGTCGATAGAGGTTCTTCAAGGTTTTTATTCGGTAGTTTTGTGCTCCTAGTGAGTGAATGTCCTATTAATATATGAGTAAAACTTGGGCACTGCGTTGGTGGTAGTAAGTAATTCCATATTAGTTTGTTTATTAGATGTGTCATACAGTGAGTGAAACAGTATTAGTATTTACTGGATGACAAAGTTTCGAACAAAATTTATTATTCATAATCATATCGATTATAATCACGTCTGATTAGGGAGGCTTTGTTTATCGAATCAACTGCAAATACGTGTAATAGAAGGGATTCAACGCCTTTTTAGCCGTATATTTCTCAAAATTCTACCACTTCAATGACGACAAATAGGAGAGGACAAAGAAAACTAAAAAAAACTCAAGTTTCGAGGTCGAGTGATTATAATTGATGAAATGATTATGAACAATACTGATTTGAGTTCGAAACCTCATCCAGTAAATACTAATACTGTTTCACTCACTGTATGATACACCTAATAAACAAACTAATAACGTGCCTCTATATTCATCAAATTGTTAATATTTATTAGAAAAGTTGAAAATCAGATTCACTCGACTCACTTCTTTCTCCGCTCCTTGAATTCATCAGACTGCAAAGCCTCGGTACGTTCAGCTGTTGTCTCAGATGTCGTCTCCTTCGGATGAAAAGCTGCAGCGACCTCATCTAGGTCAAACCCAAACTCTGAAGACATGCCGTTTAAAATGCACTACCCAAATGACCTTCGAGGAATGAACTAAAAACTGCGTGGTGTGTTGGACAATGAGTTCAATATCCAAAATCATTTTTACGAGCTAGTACCCAAGCTTGCAACAATTCTAAACTTATTCTAACCTATGCGTCGATAATGCCTTTTTATGGTAAATGAATATTTTATCTACCCACTATGTTCTGAAATAACTCTGGTCGTGCTTAAAAAGAGAGCTGAGTGCTGAATTAAGTCTTGTCGTCCTGAAGTAATGCTAGTCAGTGCTTAATATGTCCTGTAAGGGCTGGAACAACGCTGATAAGCAAACCCAGTATGTTCTGATCTATTCCTAAAATTGCCGAGAAAAAGAACACGGTGCTGAATTAGTTCTAGTCACGCTGAAAATTAGCACTGAGTTCTAGTCTGTGCTATTAAACAAACCACTCGAGAACAGATTCAGAATTTACTCACTATAGGATGCTAGAATTATTTCAGAATTACTGAGATTTAATTCAGCATTATTGTAAGCTTGGGTATGAAGCAGTTTGATGTTTTGTGCTTGCTTCTTGATTGTGAGGTAACGATTCCTGATATTCGATAAACTTTTTCGTAGTTCATTCCGCCACTCGACTGTCGCAGCTCTGGTTGACTGCAAAAGGGATGTTGCTGGGATTGATTATATGTTGTTTGTAGTATGCGGTGTGTTAAGACTTTTTTCGCTACTGTGAATGGAGCTGATCCTTTCACCAGTTAGTTCTCCGGTATCTTCTTCGAAAGAAAAGTGATTATTATAATAACAGATATAAGTAGTGTGGGTTTTTGGGAAAAAGTAGTAAAGAAAACGCAAAAACAGACAACCAATTAAATTTGAGGTCAAAATGTATCCATATATAAATATATATGTATATAATATCAGTAACAATAATAAGTGTAGTAGTTGGAGTAATCAGGAGAGTAAGACAGGAGAGAATGAGAAGTGAAACAACGAATTTAGTTGTCTACCCGTGAATGCTGTATGGAATTGTAAGGGGATAGGCCGTTTGGACGCAGTCCTTGTGTCGCTGCATGTTTGTCCAGCCTTCGTTTAAAGCTGTCCACAGAGGGTCAATAGCTACATCTGCCGGTAGAGAGCTCCAGGAAAGCCATCCTGCAGTGAAAAGAACTGGGGACACAATGAGTCCTCGCTCTCTTGTGAAGTGTCCTTCGTGGATCGCCAGGTCGAAGCCCATATGTGCTTAATAGTAGAACACCTGTGTTTGGTGATTCTGGTCATTTGTAATCCTATAGGCAGTAATTATTTGATTTGCAGAAGGACGCTTAACAATCAAATAAACCTCCTGGTATAAGAACGGAGAAGCCAGCGAGCACCGTTCTAGGTATCTAGTCAAATCTCTACCAGTATTTTTCAGGGAAATAATAGAGGGATTCCTAACTCTGATGGCAAACAAAACCAAAACTATTAGGGCTGTATAGAAAGTCATTCTTGGTATAAAGATACACGAGCATGCATTGTTCACCAATACGAGAAGATTCGACCAGGATAGGATAATAATAGCATAGGCTGAATCTGATTACATGCTTCAGTTAAGGACTTTTAGCCCTCCAAAAGTCATCGACTTTGTCTTTACACAGTGTCCAGGCAAAATCACGTAGTGATTACCCAACCATAAATAAGCAAAGCGTTCAGACAGATACACAGCACCACACATCAAAGACTTCACTAACAGTCTCCCAGATACCACAACATTTAATAAAAAAGACTTGTTTCTAGTCTGTCACAATAATTCGATGCCTCGAAAAGATGTAGATAAAACAGACTCTACGAACCGATTCGGATTAATGAGTTTCGGAGAATGATGCGCAAGTTTCCAAATTCTTATGGACGACTTGTGGATTGAGCTGCCTTCTACAAGGTCTTACGTAGATGACTTATTTATCGTTGACCCAGATACAAAATAAGATGAAAACCAGTACTATGCAGACCGTCAGATGACGGCATGACAGTCAGTCAGGATAGGTGCGTTTTTGTGGCAAGAACAACAGAGTTCCTGGGAAATGTCATCGGCAGTACTGGAACTTATTATTATTAACTGCAGAATAGTAACAAGTAACCATGTTAACCTCTCCTCCAATAACTCTGGTTTACTAACGATTGTGCTCCTGAATGCTAGATCTCTCCTTAATAAAATAACATCGCTTCGCTTCCTGGCATACATAGAACGGCCAACACTATTAATGGTGACTGAAACCTGGCTTACTACTGATATACCTGACTCAAAGCTAGTAATAGAAAACTACGACATCTACAGGAACGATATAGTTGACAAAAGAGGAGGCGGCTGCTTAATGTATGCCTCTAAATCCACTAACTCCAATACTTTCAATAACCCAACTACTGACAAACTCCCTGAATCTAAGTGGATAAGCATCCACACAAACGAAAATAAAATTCTCGTGGGATGTATATACGGACCCCCTAATAGCTCTCAAATGACTGATATAACTATTGGAGAAATACTAGAGCATGTAGCCTCGCTGGACTGTGACTACAAAGTAGTCTGTGGCGATTTCAACTTACCTGGAGTAAACTGGGATACCTGTACAGGACCTAGAATCCATGATGAGCTACTACAAGCTATAGACGTAGGCGGAAGCAGTGCGTGCGCCTCCCTACAACAAATGAAAACACTCTTGACTTAATCCTTTGTCATGAAATTGAGCCCATCTCGATAGAGTTAGGAAATAAACTTGATAACAGTGATCACAACATATTGCACTGCACGCCACCCCTCCGACTAACAACTAAACACACATCTAAAAATTCCCCGGTGCACTATCAATATAGGGACTATAAGAATGCCGATTGGGAATTCCTATCAGATCTGCTGAGAAGTTCTGACTGGGAAGAATACTTCACCAACAATAACTTAGAAGTATCACTTGATATTTTCTACAAAACAATTGGCTCAGCAAGAGACACAATCGCGCCCCTAAAATCTGCTCTAAAGACACCAATTCCATTTATAGACCGCAAAACGCGACTAAAACTAAAGAAATTGAAAAGGAAATACCATGTATTTAAGGAATTTAATGCGTTAAACCAAATACATGAAACTCCTAAACGGCTTGAAGATAAACACAAAATGATGTCACAACTTAAGGAAAATAAAGCGCTTGTGGGTAACTCCAAAACTCAGGAACTTTGTAGGATATTGCAGAAACGTCTAAAAAGCAGTAAAGACAATACTGTAAGCAGCTTGGAACATAAGGGTATAATATACAATGATCCCCAAGTTATAAGTGAACTCCTCAGTGAGTGGTTTTGCAATGACGCCAGAGTGCACCCGACCCCAAATTTCCAAATGACCTGCAAAAGTAACCACAAATTAGGCGAAATACACTTTAATATACAAAATATAGACTCAGCGATTAAGATTTTGAAGTCTAATGGTAGTACTGGAACAGACGACATACCATCTGTCACACACAAAAATGGTAGCACGGAAATGGTAGTCTTGTTACTTAGAATATTTACTCTCTCGTTGGAAACCTGAACTTATCCTGAAGTGTGGAAAACCACATACATATTACCTAAGCACAAAGCAGGGGCCAAAACCAGTACATGCAACTATAGACCTATCAATATAACACCGGTAATATCCCGAATAATGGAGAAAGTGGTTAAAGACCAAGTGTCAGACAACTTACTAGAACATGAACTTATCAATCCATCACAACACGGATTTCTCAAAAAGAGATCATGTGTGACCTGTCACACAGACTTTTTCAACGAAGTTACACGAAGTAGGACAACAGGGAACTAGCAATTGTGCTATATTTCGATATAACAAAAGCCTTCGACAGAGTTCCCTATAATCTGCTAGTCAGCAGGTTACGCTCACTAGTGATATGTGACCCTCTCCTGAGTTGGATAAAATCATTTCTCTGTGGCCGAAGTCAGACAACGAAAGTTGGCTCGATAATCTCAAGGCCTAAACCAGTAAGTAGTGGTGTGATCCAGGGAAGTGTATTAGGCCCACTCTTATTCATAGTATATATAAACAGTATCTGTGAATGCTTTAGTGTAGGTAAACCAATACTATATGCAGATGACTTAAAAGTGACGTATAAATGCAAGAACACAGATCTTGAAATAACAGTAAACGCCATACAGCAAGACTTAGAAAAAATGGATAGATGGTGTGACACCTGGAATCTCCAATTTAATGCCGAAAACTGTGGCTGGCTCTGCATTGGTTGCAACAATTTAGAACTTGACCTGACAATTCAAGGCCATGCACTTCTACGACTGGAATCTGTACTTGACCTAGGGCTGAAATATTCACATAACTTATCATTTTCCGAACATATCTCCAAACAAGTGTCAAAGTCACGCAGACTTATCGGCTTTCTACTCAGGAACTTCTACAGAAATGAGTCTAGAATTCTGTTGTACAAGGTTTGTGTGCGTCCTTTATTTGATTACTGTTCATTCATGTATAGTAGCATACGCATAGAGGACAAATTGAAAGTCGAGGGAGTGCAGAGGTACTTCACGTTAAAATTACTCGGAACTGAAAATGGTGCGAACTACTCCACTAGATGTGATACCCTAGGACTAGAAACACTATGGCTAAGACGCCTGAGACTAAACTTGACACTTTACTATAAGCTTCTAAACCACTTAGTTTTTACCTCTACTAATGGCACTCGACTTTCAGATGACAATGGCTACAAACTAAGACACACTAAGGGTACAGTAGCTATCGAACAATGTAAAACAGCCACCAGGCAAAAGTTTTACTTGATTAGGTATGCACAGATATGGAATAAACTACCAGTGGAAATGCGTCAAGCAAGTACATTGGCCTCCTTCGAAAAGGTGCTTAGTGACAAACTACAAGAGTTTGCAAACGATAGTTGTTCTAGTTCCTATCTGAGAGCCTCCGAAATTATAGGTCCATTTAATGTATAAGCTTAAATACCACACCTGTTGTTTTTTGCCTATATTTATAATTCTAGATAAAACATTAACGGTTAAGACACGTA